CCCCACCCCGCTGGCGTGCAACGTACCACTCACGGAGCTGCTGATGGGGTGGGGATGTCACGAGTGCGCTGCTACTGCTGCTGGTGCTGCTGCTGGCGCTGACCACCACCGGAGCCGACCCTCTGGGCAGCGCCACACCGACCAGCTCCGCCGCCTCCTCCACCGCCGCCACCTCCGCCACCTCCGCTCCCACCGCCACCGCCACCTCCGCCTCCGCCTCCACTGCCACCACCGACACCTCCACCCCCGCCACCACTCCCACCACCAACCCCACCCCCTCCACTGCCTCCCAGCCACCTCCGCCACCCCCGCCAGCCCCTCCAGTGCCCTTGCCCTCCTTGCCCTTGCCGGTGCGGCGTCTCCCGCTCGGGGCAGACGCAGCGCCGACCGACTCGAAACCAACCAGGTCGGCCGCAGCAACAGAGGCAACAGAGGACAAAAGGGGGGAGGGGGAACACCCCTCAAAGACGGGGGTGCGAGGGTCACCACGAGAGGCTCCTACAGTGACTATGCTCTTCTCTGCTGCTAGGAGGGCCTTCTCGAGGAGGTCAACGGTGAGAGTGGTGGGGCAAACTGAGAGGAAGTGGTCCCTGACTACGCGGAGAGAGTCAGGGAGCCGGGCGACTATGTAGTAGAGGATGATGTAGATGGGGGGGGGGGGGGGGGGTTCTTGGCGCAGAACTCAGCAGGAAGCGCAGCGTGGTAGCGAGTGTCACCAGTGCGGAGGTGCGTTATGAGGTCAATGACAGTAGGAAAGGCAGCAAGGTCAGGGAAGAGGTACGGTAGCATGAGGCGGCTCTGTGCAGCAGTGGCAGGGGAGGAGTAGCGTGCAACTACAGCGTCGTACAAGGTCTGAGCACTCTTGTACTGGCTAAAGTGCGCACGCTCAGAGGTAGGCAGGTGGCGACGCACAGCAAGACGTGCAGAAGCATCGCGTGTGGCCCACTGTGAGCGAACAGTGGCGTCAGCATCAGCAGTAGGGGCAGGAGAGGCACCAGAAGTGAGGTCAAAGAGGGAGAGACCGTCTGCCCTATCGCAATGTAGGAAAAGCTGTAGGTCATCTATCCAGACATCAAAGTAAATGGCCCGACCCTCAGCGTCAAAAGCGAGGACACTAGGGGTAGCCATGACAGCAGTAGACTAGCAGCTCGAACAGTAGGGTAAGGGCAGTGCAGTGACAGAGGCGCTGCTCTTACCAGACAGGGCGGCTCGGGCGGCTCGGGCGGTGCGGCGGCTCGGCAGCAACTGCGGCTCGTCGATGCGGGCGGCTCGGCAACGAGGCGACACTGGCGGCTCGGGCGGCTCCGCGGTACGGCGGCTCGGCAGCTCGGCGACCCGGAGGCTTGGGCGGCTCAGGTGGCGCGGCGGCTCGGCAACAGCTCGGCGGCGCTGGGGGCTCGCTGGTGACGGCGGGGCCGCGTGGGGATGGCGGCGGGGCCGGGTGGAGCGACGGCGGGGCTAGGTGGAGCGGCGGGGCCGGGTGGAGCGGCGGCGGGGCCGGGTGAGGCGGCGTCGGGGCCGGGAAGGGCAGCGCCGGGGCCGCAGGGTAGGCTGCGGGGCCAGCAAAGGAGGCGCCGGGGCCGGGAAGGGCGGCGCCGGGGCCGCAGGGGTAGGCGACGGGGCCAGCAGAGGCGGCGCCAGGGCCGGGAAGGGCGTCGCCGTGGCCGCAGGGGTAGGCGACGGGGCCAGCCGAGGTGGCGCCGGGGCCGGGAAGGGCGGCGTCGGGGCCGGGAAGGGCGGCGCCGGGGCCGCAGGACTAGGCGACGGGGCCGCTAGGGTGGCGCAAGGGGCCACAAGGGCGGCGCACGGTGGGCCGACGGGCGGCTCGAGGGGCCGCAAGGGCGGCACGCGGAGCGGACGGGCGGCGCAAGGGGCCGCTAGGGCGGCGCGCGGGGTCGACGGGCGGCGCAAGGGGCCGACGGGCGGTGCGAGGGGCCGCAAGGGCGGTGCGAGGGGCCGCAAGGGCGGTGCGCGGGGCCACAATGGCGGTGCACGGGGCCGTAAGAGCGGCTCAAGGGGCCGTGAGAGGGGCCCCTAAGGGCGGCGCGACGGTAGGGAGGGCACGCGGGGCGCGACTCGGGCAGGAGCGAAGCGCGCTTCGGGCAGGAAAAAAAAATTCGAGGTGGGCCCTAGAAAGCGTTCCCACTAGGGAACCTGCTCTAAAACCATGAGAAGAAACGAGGAATGGGAATGACTAAGTGAAATTTGGGTACAAATGCAAACCCTAGAAAGCTGTAACCCATATGTGCTACCCCACTATAGCCTACAATAGCTATGTCATATAAATCTGACACGGATTTCAAGTTCTAAATTTGCCCTGCGCCCGTGATCGTTAAGGGCTAAAAAACTCTCACCTACGCGAAAATCAGGGCCAAAGTTCAAGCAGCTCAGGACTCGATTTGTTGGTCCCATAGACTTCAATAGGCCTGTTTTGAACGTGAAGAACTGAATTTGCAACACATCCGCTTGATTCTCGTTTCAAAAAAAAATAAAAATAAAAAATAAAAATAAAAAAAAGTTGTACCCCATATGTGCTACCCACTATAGCCTACAATTGCTATGTCATATAAATCTGACACACCCCCATAGGCAAAGTGGGGAAGAACAAGGGGTCACAAGACCAGTCAAGCAAAGCAAAGCAAGCTCAGGGTGCACAGACCTGGGTGAACTGCGCAGCTACCTTGGCTTGCAAATCACTCGGGACAGAGCACGCCGCACCATCACCCTGACTCAGTCACACATGGTGCAGCAGGTTCTTCAGCGCTTCGGCTTCACGTACTCCTCGCCTCAGGCCACTCCTCTGCCTCCTCGCCACTCACTCTCAGCTCTGCCTTTGGATGAGTCCGTAGAGTCGAGTGGCCTGTACCCAGAGCTTGTTGGCTGCCTCATGTACCTGATGACCTGCACACGACCTGACCTTGCATACCCTCTTAGCATTCTCGCACGCTATGTTGCTCCTGGGAGACACCGACCAGAGCACATGGCTGCAGTGAAGAGGGTGTTGCGCTACTTGTGCAGTACGTCGGGCATGGGGTAGTACTTGGAGGGCGGAGTCCAGTGGTCCTCACTGGTCACGCAGACGCTTCTTGGGCTGACAACCAGGCTACGCAGCGGTCGTCACAGGGTTACACCTTCAGCCTTGGTTCCGGCTCTGTTTCGTGGCGGGCTACTCGCTTGTCTTCTGTTCTCGGCTCCAGTTGTGAGGCTGAGATCTACGCTGGGGCCATGGCTGCTCAGGAGCTTCGCTGGCTCACCTACCTGCTGACCGACCTTGGAGTGCCGCCTCGTTCTCCTCCAGTCCTGTACGTAGACAACAAGGTCATGCTGGCCTTGTGTCGAGAGCAGAGAGTGGAGCACAGAACAAAGCACATTGCTCTCCGCTACTTCCTTGCTCGTGAGCTACAGCAGCGTGGTCAGTTGCGGCTTGCGTACGTGGCCTCTGAGGCCAACACTGCTGATGTCTTCACCAAGGCACTTGCGCCTTGTGATCATCAGCGCTTCTACACGCAGCTGGGTCTTGTGCCTGTCTTGCCTCACTTGCTCACCTCTTGACCTTGCTTGTACTGTTACATATATATATACCTGCTCTTGCTTGTCTAGCCTTATATATATATGTACTCCTGCATGTGAACTGGCCTTGTGGCCTTGAACTTGTGCTCGGAATGTGTGGTGACTTTGTGATCCACCCTGAGCTTGCTTTGCTTTGCTTTACTTGACTGGTCTTGTGACCCCTAGTTCTCCCCCACTTCGCCTATGGGGGTGTGTCAAACATTATATATGTTGTGCTTGTTTAGGCTACAGTGGGTTAGCCTATAGGGGGTAGACACTTCTAGGGTTAGGTACTTGTACTGCTTTCACTGTTAGTTCAATCATTCCTGTTCGTTCATTTTAACAGCTCTGATTGAAGCTTGCAGGTTGATTTGCGGGAGTTTCGGTAGAAGTGCTCTTGGTCTTGTTGCCGTACCCTCCTCTGTATGTAGGCCAGAGGCAGGAGGTGGAGACGGGGTAGTACCCGGGGAGCCGTTAGAGGAGCTCCTTTCCTTTTGTGTTGCCATGCTTTCTGACGTTGTAGATAACTTGATAGTAGTTGAGTTCCCCCTTTTAGCTCTCATACCATGTTGGGCTGAGAAAAAGCCCTTAGGATATTTGCAGGGCTGAACTCTGGATAGGACTTGTTGTAATTAGCAGAAGGTTAATAAGAAGTGTTTGAACCACCTTGCGCTGATATGTAAGGGCAAATTAGATTGGTTAAAACAAAGAGATACATGTTTTTATAAGAGTACAAGGAATACGAAGAGATACAGTTAATAACCGTTTTACTATTGCTGTTGCGGTTCGATACAGTGACGACTCGGGCAACTGCTCAATAACGAGTCAGTTGTTGGTCCTTGCTGTCGCGCTGTATTTGTCAGGTCAAAAGGCGCCGACCTTTGACTTTCGCGTAACCTCTAGCAACTGCTCAACCTCTGAGGTTTGACTCGCCGGTGCTTCGATATACTTCGCTTCGCTTCTGACTTGGTGTTTCGAGACGACAGAGGCGCTTTATAATTAATTGTTTCCAACAGCTCCAAATAGAAGCGCATTCAATTTTAATAGGCCTGCGCTTGTATCCGGGGCCATACGGTATGCCATGTTGAGGAGGATCATTCTTGTGGATATATATATATATATATATATATTGATATGTGAGAGACTTTCTATGCCAAACCTCACCAAGTGTTTTTTTAGTACGCCGCTTTCGTTTCAGCTTGGAAATTGCTACTGTAACTTATTCTTTTTGGAACAGAATTACATTGAATGATATATTCCCGGATCATCCTGTACCGGGGAAAACTAGCAGACACGAAATCATGTTTCACACTCACCAGACCTTCCGTTGATCAACAAAACTAGCAGACACGAAATCCAATGGGAAACCCGCCACTGTCCAGAGACATGACCGACACAATCCCGCTCGCACGGCCACTCGTGTGATGCTGTGACGGATCGCTCAGGGAGCCATGGCGTCGTCGTTCATGTCGCAGGTGCGCGCTCTCCGCTCCTATCGCATGACTCCGCTCGCTCGTCCTCCTCCCGCCCGTCGCCCACCCGCCATCTCCGCCGAATCCGCTCCTGCCGTCCCCTTCTCCCGCCCACCCTGCTCCCCCGCCTCGCCGCGCTCTCTCTTCCGTCTCCTTCCCTCGTTCACCACCGCCACCTTGTTCCCTGCCTTCTGCGTCCGTCTTCTCGGCCTCCCGCCCCTCTGACTGCCGCCCCACTGCCGCCCGCAGGTGCTGCTGCGCGTGCTGCGCACGTACATCCGCGATGCCGACGGCGCGGCGGCGTCCGACCTCAGCGTGTCGCTTTCGGGCGGCTCCCTCACTCTCAGAAACTTCGAGCTCAACCTGCCAGGTGCGTCGCACGGAGTGGCGACATGTTCAGTAGGCCCAAGGCAAATAGGAGGCGCGAGGAGCCGGTGTCGTCTTCGCATGGCCGCGCTTGAGGCCCTCACATCGGCCCCCTTTGCATGGCTCTGCCAGCGTTCCGCACCACAACTCCCCATCGCCCCTCCTCACTCCTCTTACATCTTGCTCTTCCTCACTCCCTGCTTTGCACACATTTGTGCGGCGAAAGCGGGTGCATGACCTGCCTGCGCTGATTCCCCCCACACCGCCCTCATGCTCACAGAACCTTCCCCTACCCCCTCAATGCCCCCCACCACCCCGCACCCACCCTCTGCCAGTCCCCCCTCACGTGCGCGTGGCGGTGCGGCGCGCGTGGGTGGGCGAGCTGCGGGTGAGCATCCCGTGGGCCGCGCTGGGCTCGCACCCCGTGGCTGTGGCGCTGCATGGCGTGCGCGTGCACGTGGAGGCAACGGGGGGAGGGGGGGTTGGAGGGCAGGGGACGGAGGGGAAGGAGAGGGTGTGGAGTGGAGGGAATTGCGGTGGCAAGGGGGGCGAGGAGGGTGCAAGGGAAAGTGGGGGGGGCGCTGGGGGGCAGCAGGGGATGGGGCCAAAAGAGGGTGAGCGGGGCGGTGGCGGGGGCGAGAGGGGGGGCGATGGAGCAGGGAAGGAGGAGGAGGGCGGTGGTGGTGGGAGCGACACGGACTCAGAGTCGTCGCAGGGAAGCAGCAGCAGTGGGGCGGGGCATGCGAGGGAGGAGCTGGCGGAGCTGCTGGCGCTAGGGGGGCTGCGGGCGTTCCTGCAGCACACCGTGCTGAACGCCAGTGTGACTGTAACGGACGTGCTCCTGCAGTACTCCACGCCGTCTGCTGTGCTGTCTCTGCGCTGCGATAAGCTCCTCCTCCACTCCACTGCACCTGACTGGACCCCTGCCTTTGTGGTGCGCGCTGCTCCCACCCTCCTGCTGTGCTGCTTCTCCTATCCATTCATGCCCATCTTTCACTCGCACAGGTGTGACAGCATGGCAGCATGCGTGACATGCCACCCATAGCCCATAGCACTGCACGTCACGTATAGCACAATGCATCCCCATGCCTCCCCGCGCATCTGATCTGCTCAGCATCGTGCTGCACCCCTCCCCCTCCAAGCGCCCCTGTGCCCTCGTCGCCTTGCCTGCAACGCACACGCATTCATCTCTCCTCATATCCTTCCCAGCCACCAGAGGAAGGCGTGAGGAAGGTTCTGGAAGTTACTGGCCTGTCGGTGGATGTCGCAAGTACATCTAGCCAATCACACAACGCCACGTGTCAGGCCAGCCAAGGTCCGTGGAGCAAGGCTATGGCAAATTGCCCTCATGATAGCATGCAAGCCATTTTCCTGTCAGGCAGGCGCTAGTCCCCGTTCTGCTCCCCCATCTGTCACTCATTGCTCGCCTTATATGCCACTGTATCTACGGCAAGTCCTTGAGCCAGTGCATGCCGTTTGGGATCAATCTTTCTCACCATTCACCCACTCGTCGCGATACTCACGTCCCTCGCCCCAAACCCACTCCCTCTGTTATTTGCCACCCAACCCAACCCCCCCTTCACGCCCACGACACTCCCCCCTCTCCACACGCTTCCCGTCAGTGCCGCTCCTCTCCGCTGTGTCCCTCACTTGTCGCATCGCCATCACCCCGCCCTGTGTTGCTCTTGCCGTGCCCCAGCGCGCCTGCCTCTCCCTGCGCCTGCTGCCCCTCGCCCTCTCCGCCTCGCCCTCCCACCTCGCTGCTCTGCTCAGCGCCGCACACTCATGCCGGCACACATGGGGGAGAGGCGCTGGGGCACAGGGAGTAGGGGGGGCGGAGGGAGCGGGGGAAGCAGTTGGAGGGGGCGTGGAAGAGAAGAGGAGTGGAACGGAGGAGGGAGGCGGGCATGGCAAGGGCAGAGGTGACAGCGGGGATGCGATGGGTGGGACAAGAGAAGCATCTGAGAAGCTTCTGGTATCAGCAAGTGAGGAGGGAGAAAAGGCAGCAAAGGAGAGGGCGGGTGGAATGATGGATGGGCTGCAGCAAGAAGGGCAGCAGGGGGGGCAGCAGGGGGGGCAGCAGGGGGGGCAGCAGGAGGGGCAGCAGGGGGGGCAGCAGGGGGGGCAGCAGGGGGGGCAGCAGGGGGGGCAGCAGGGGGGGCAGCAGGGGGGGCAGCAGGGGGGGCAGCAGGGGGGGCAGCAGGGGGGGCAGCAGGGGGGGCAGCAGGGGGGGCAGCAGGGGGGGCAGCAGGGGGGGCAGCAGGGGGGGCAGCAGGGGGGGCAGCAGGGGGGGCAGCAGCAGGGGGGCCAGCAGAAGCGGGGATTGTTTCACAGCATGGGGCGCGCGATTGGGTGGGTGCAGCAGCTGTTTGAGGATGAAGAGGACGATGAGGCGAGCAGCAGCGGCGCTGCCGTGGCAGCCACGGGGCAAAGTGCGTTGTCAGTGCGAGCTGCTGCTGCTGCTGCAGCAGCGGGTGGTGGCTTGGAGAGTGAGCAGATCTGGGAGTGGGCCACGGGGTACGAGGCGGGTGTGCACTTTGACTTGGCAGCCACTGATTGGTCCGTGGCTGCGCTGCTAGAGGGCGCTGAGCTGTCTCTTGTGAGCAGTGCGGGCGACGGCATGGATGGCAGTGGTGGCGCATCTGTGTGCTGTGAGGGCCATGCCGCCGGCCTCACTGCACATGAATGCCACGGAGCACCTGCACCTCCAAGCCTTGACCTGGGCCTTGCCGGCCCAGCCTGCTATCCGAAGCTGGAGTGCAGGCTCGGGGCCGTGCTGGTGGAGGCGGAGGGGCGGGGCCGGGCGGTGCAGGCAGCGAGTGTGAAGGTGGGGCCCGTGGCAGTGGCTGTGGCAGTGGCTGTGGCAGTTCCAGGGAGCAGCGCTTCAGGTGTCTCTTCAGGTGCCGATACACATGTTCCTTCTGGTGGCTCGGATCCCGCAGCAGTAATACCGTCTTCTCTCCGTCCTCTTCTCCGCCTGCACACGCGGCAGCAGGCAGGCGAGGCAGGGGCAACAGCAGTGGGGGGCCGAGGGGAGGGCGCGGTGGGGTCGTATGGGAGCCTGCAGGCGCCGCTGCTGCACTCCCTCGCCCCCCTGGGTGCCGTGCTGCCCGCACACACAGCAGCAGGGGGAGAGCAACACACGGGTGCTCGCGGGGCGCGAAGACAAGGGGCAGCAGGGGGGAGTGCGAGTCGGGGAGGGAAGGAAGATGAGGAGGGGGAGAGTGTGGGGGAGTGTGAGGAGGGGTGGAGTGTGGAGGGAGTGTGGTGGCGTGGGGTGCGAGTGGCAGAGGCGTTTGAATCCTCGCAGGCTGCTGGGCCGTTGGGGCTCACTGCTGACGTCAGCCTCTCGCTACACGTGGGGCTCGTGGCAGTCTCCTATTGGCCGGGCATGGCCAGCACTGTGCTGCGGTGGTGGCAGGACGTGCAGGCATGCCGTGGTGGTGGAGGTGGGGAAGTGGGAGGGGCTGTGAGAGGGGACGGGTGGCTTACACAAGAGGAGCCCAGAGCCCCACTGCCTCTCGCCCCCACTCCCTCGTCCCCAGGCAGCGGTGGTGGATGGTTGGGGTGGGTGGCGCGGGTGAGCAGCGCCGAGGTGGGAGGGGACGGGGTGACTGTGCGCATGGGTGGCAGCAGTAGCGGGGGAAGCTGCGGCTTGGAGCAGAAGCTGCAGAGGGGGGCCGAGGGTGAGGGTGAGGGTGAGGGCGAGGGTGTGAGTGTGAGCACGGGGCGAGTGGCGGTGTGGAAGAGGCCAGCGAGATGGGTGGGGGACGATGGCAGGGCGTGTGAGGGAAGCAGGGCGCGGGTGACAGTGACGCTGCAGGCACACATGCACTCTCTGGACAACGCCCAGGTACCTCCCTCCCTTCCTCCCCCCCTCGTAACCACTCCCTTCATCTCATACGTCTACCCTCCTCAGCTCCATCAAGCCTGCAAGGCTACAGCTGCATTCTTGTAGAGTCTGGACTCTCCCCGCCTGTCCTCCCCTCACCTTGCCTGGTCTGGCATCCCCCCCATTCCTGACCTCCCTGCGCGCCCCTCTGCCATCCGCCCATGGCAGCTGTGCCCCGCCACGCTGCTCCACCCGGCCTCTCTCCGCGTCGACTGCACGTGGTCCACTGCTGCTGCTGCTGCCGCCTCGTCACCTCAAGCACCAGCCGCGCCACAACGGCTGGCAGCAGCAGCACCGCCAGCTGGATCATTTGTGCGGCCTGAATTGGCTGCTGGTGGAACGCGTAGCAGTGGGGGTGGGGAAGGGATTGAAGGCGGGTTTGCTGTGATGGGGGAGGGGGGCATGAAGCATGGGGCGAGGGGGGGAAGCGAGGGTACGGTGGAAGCCAGCCTGGATGCCGTCTCTCTGCATGTCTCCCGCCCACAGGCCGCCTCTCTGCTGGCCATGGCTGCTGCTGCGCTCAGAGATGTGAGCTGCAGTGCACGTGGCGTTGGTGCCGCCACGGCATCAGTAGCAGAACCACCAGGCAGCACGGCAGGGTCAACTGCAACAGCACAGGCTGCAGCAGCCGTGCCAGCAGCCGTGCCAGCAGCCGGGCCAGCAGCCGTGCCAGCAAGCAAGCTGCGGGGCGTGGCTAAGCACGCACGCGTCCTGGAGGCAGCAGCTGAGGTGATGTCAATGTGGAGCCACAGGCCATCCTTCTCCTCATCACCACCACCACCGCCACACCCCTCAACTCACTCCCCGTGGTGCTGCCAGCACGTGCAGCAGCAGGTGGGGGCGTTCTGCCATGTGCGGGCGTGCAGTGTGGTGCTGGCAGGGGGATGGCGCAGCGGCCGCTCTCAGCCCGCCAGCCCCACACTGCGAGAGGCGTGGCTGCAGCAGGCGGTGCTGCGAGGGCAGGCGCATGGAGGGCACACGTGGGTGAAGCTGTCCGTTGAGTCTCTATCGGTGGAGGCACTGCATGCACTCAGGTGTGTGTGGAGGCACTGCATGCACTCAGGTGTGTGTGTGTGTGCTGCCATCACACGACCTCTAAATCTCCTCCGCTGTGTCCACTGTGTGTTGGTCCGCCACTGCGATGTCACCACCTACATTGTACCCGGTGCTTCTCATTCTATTTGCGTCCCTCCCATCCCCCACCCATCCCTCACATCCCCACCCGCTCCGCCCTGCCGCGCTCCGCCCAGCCTCTCCCTTCAGCCGTCGCCCCCCGCCTCAGCAGCCCTATCGGCGTCCTTCCACTCATCCATCGGCACACGCCCCCCCATGCGCCCTGCCATGTTGCCACCCTCCACTCAAGCCGCTGCGGCGCAGCACGCCCACCCAGGCACCAGCGCTGCTGCAAGTGGTGCTGACGTCACGCTGCACTTGGGTGACGTCATGCTGGTGGTGTGGGCGGATCCTCTTGTGCACTTACACGGGCTAATAGCTGCTGGCAGTGTGGTGAGAGCCCAGGAGATAGAGGTGGAGAGCGGTGGAGACAGGTGGGATGGAGAAGGCCGAGGAGCAGGGGCGAGTGGGGAGAGGGGAGCAGACAGAAGAGGTGGAGGGGGAGAGGAGGGAGGAGGGAAGGGAAAGCTGGCAGGTGGGGGAATGGGGGCAGTAGCACAGATCATGGGTGGGGTGGGATGGGTGCAGGCAGCGGTGCAGCGGGGCAGTGTGAGCATTGTAGCAGGCCCCTTGAGGGGCGCCAGGGGCCACAGCAGTGGCAGCGCACACAATGGGGGGGGTTGCAGTGGGGGTGAAGGGGGAGGTGTTGGGGCGAGGGGAAAGGGCGTAGAGGGGCATGGTGTGTGGGTGGCAGTGGGGCGGGCAGGCATGAGAGGGCTGTCACTATGTGTGATTGTGAATGAGGGGCGGGGTGGGAGCGGTGCACGGGAGGCGGAGGCACAGAGGGGTGAGCAGGGTGGGGAAGAGCCCCCTGTGGTGTGCGTGCAGCGCGTGTGGGTGGACCTGGGCACGGCGTGCCTGCCCTGCTCGCCTGCCCCCACGCCCCTTGCCACGCTAGAGGAGAGCCACGGCGCTGCAGGGAGCACACAGACGGACACGTGGCTGCGTGCGATTGGCTCAGAAACCGTGGCTTCGCTGGTGCAGGTGGAGGGAGTGACGGTGGGGGGTTTGGGAAAGGCAGGGCCGTGCGAGCAGGTGGGGCAGGAAGAAGGAAGGCAGCAGCAACGATGTCAGCATGATCGCGGGCAGCAGTGTCAGTGCACTGAGCACACTGGAGGGCCATGCAATGAGAATCGGCCTCTTGACCTGCTGGTGGGTGCTGCCTCCCTTTCCTGCAATTCCTCCCCTCATATCTCCCCACGCCCCTCGTTTCCTCCCTTGGTCTGCTTTTCTCATTCTCCTCCTCACCCCCCCCACCTCTGCGTCCACACCCGTCCCTGGGAGCACTGCAGGTGGAGCGGGTGGGCGTCACTGTCTCGCGCCACCAGGTCCACACCCTGCTGCTGCTGCGCCGCCACCTCACCACCGCCCTGCTGCCTCTGCTGCGCCCACCTGCCACCACTGCTGCTGTCACCCAGCAAGGCAGGCAGGGCAGGCAGGGCAGCACAGAGAGGGGCAGCAGCAGCAGCAGCAGCAGCAGCAGGTGCGTCAACGGTGCCAGCGGTGCAGTGACACGTGTCAGCATGCGAGTGGTGGAGTGCACAGCAGCCATGCCCCTATGGGCGGCAGCCAGCCCCCCGGCAGTCAGCAGCGCCTTCCACGGCGCCCACTCGGCCCACCGTGCCTCCTCGCACCTCCACGCCACCATCTCCCACTGCTGTCTCTCTGCCTCCATAGCCCCCCTCCTGCTGTCCACAGGCAATGCGCGCCCTGGTTGTTCCTCTGGTGCAGCAGCAGCACCGCCGGTGGTGCATGGCAGCGTGGGGCGAGTGGCAGTGGAGGCGGTGAGGCAGGGCAGGCGCCAGGCAGGAGCACCCGGGGCCACGGGGCTTGCACCCGCAGGGGCGGCTGAGCAGCGCTTCACTCTGCTCGCCCTGCCGCACGCTGCCCTCTCACCGTCTTCCTCACGCGCCCCTCACCACCGTGCCCACACTCCTCCTCCTCACTACTCCCCTGCAGCAGCACACCCGCCTGGCATGCCACCCCACCAGCACTCAGAGCCCAGCTGCCCTGCTCACCCTGCCACCCCCCCTGCTGCTGCAGGCGCCCCTGCAGGCATGGCGTGGAGAGTGGTGGAGGAGGAGAGGCCGTGTGGTGGGGGCACAGGGGGAACGGGACGCAGGGCGCAGGGTGGGGTAGGGGAGGGAGAGGGAGAGCAGAGGGGGAGGTGGTGGGTGGAGGTGGAGGCACAGCCCCTGATGGTGGCCGCGGACGCTCGCCTCGTGCACGAGGTCACTGCCTGCACGCTGCTCGCTCTGCCGCTTCCCTCTCTCTCCATGCGATGCTGCCCGTGTCGCATGTGTCTTCAGCGTTACATCTGCTGCGTTTGGAATGCATGACTCACCTTTCCTCTTTGCCGCGTTCTTGCTTCTCATTCTCATGTGCAGCTTTCTGCCACACCCTTGTCTTTCACCGCGCGCATCCGATCTGATTCTCAATGCCTGCGTGCGTGCCGCACTCCCTCTGCACCAGTCACCATTGTTCGCCCTTCATTCTGCTCCCTGTTCTCACCTCCACCTCCACCACACCTGCCACCGCCCGCAGGTCATCGCCACGCTGTACGACGTCCTCCCGCGCCTGCGCGCCCCCCCGCCACCACCACAGCAACTGTCTGCGCGGCACACAGGGAGAGACGCTGCTGTCTGCTCTGCCACCCACCATCCGGCATGCATGCCCAACGAACACGGCTCACGCACACCACAGAAGCAGGCAGCCCCTAGGAAGGGAGAGGGCAGTGCCGCACCACCCAAAGGGTCTCTACCAGTGTCCCGGCTGTGGGGCGTGAAGGTGGCGAGTGGAGGCGCCCTCATCTCGCTGCTCTCAGCCTTGGAAGCCTTCCAAGCATCTCAAGGCTGTGAAGGGTCACCCACCCCTGACACTGACACTCCCCACGCTCACAAGCCGTGCCCATCCTCCCCACCGCCCGCCTGTGTGTCGTCCCCCTCAGCGCTGTCCCGCCTGCCGCGCCTCTCCATCTCCTCCCACTTGGTCGCTCACGATGACTCCGAACCCCACCCACCGTGGCAGGGGGGCGCGCAACAGCTCGGCGCGCAGCAGTCGGGCGAGCAGCAGGGGGAGCAGAAGGAGAGGGAGGGTGTGGCAGGGGGAGCAGGCGTGTCAGTGGAGTTGGAGAGCTGCACGCTCACTCTCTCCCTCGTGCCCTCACTGCATGACATCCGCCGGTTTGCAGGCACCCACGATGCCTCTTGCCCGGGCCGCATCATCCTCCCCCACACACCACCCACCACCCACTCCTCCTCACACCCCCCTTCGCACCGCCCCCCGCCGCCCTTCCTCATCCCCACCATCGAGCTCCAGTCGGCCCACACGGCCATGCGCCTGTGCAGCACGGACCTCCTCTCCAGCCCCACGCTGCTCTCACACGCCCACTCCACCGCACTGCACCTCACAGCCCTGGGCACCCCCTTGCCCCTGCGCCTCACCATACACACGGACTTCGCGTCGCCCCGCCTCTGCCCCAAGGTGCTGCTGCCGCTCATCCGCCTCGCCAGGTCCCTGCGGGATGCGTGGGCGGCAGCGAGGTCCGTGCGGGTGGCGCATGAGGTGCAGGCGAGCATCGAGGTGCAGGGTGCGCCGAGTGACGACCTGCGCAGTGGGGCGTTTGAGTGCAGCAGGGGGGAGGGGAGGGTGCAAGGGGGGGTGGCGGGGTGGGAGGAGGTGGGGGCGGGGCAGGTGGCGTGGGGGGAGGGCGTGGCCAGCAGAGACAGGCCGCTCAGCAACAGCTGCTTTGGGGGAGGCTGGATCGCATGGCGGTATGTTCAGGGCATGGCATGTGCCGGGCATGGCATGTGCAGGGCATGGCATGTGCGTGGCATGGCATGTGCGTGGCATGGCATGTGCGTGGCATGGCATGTGCGTGGCATGGCATGTGCGTGGCATGGCATGTGCGTGGCATGGCATGTGCGTGGCATGGCATGTGCGTGGCATGGCATGTGCGTGGCATGGCATGTGCGTGGCATGGCATGTGCGTGGCATGGCATGTGCGTGGCATGGCATGTGCGTGGCATGGCATGTGCGTGGCATGGCATGTGCGTGGCATGGCATGTGCGTGGCATGGCATGTGCGAGGCATGGCGGTTCATGGGGGCAGGCATGAGCAAGAACTAGGACCCTGTCTGTCACAAACTGGCTCCTCACGGCTCGCAAGTTATTCTAATGAATTTTATTCCCCTAGCATCACATCGCTGTACCGTTCAACGGATGTGTTCTTGAAATACTCGCTCGCCCTCACCCTCCTCACTTGCTTTTCTTGCCCAGCCATTCATGAGCTTATAATCCCAATCCTCCCCTCTTCTGTTACCCCCCCCTCCCTCCCCTCCCTCCAGCTACCCCTACCCGCGTGCAGTGCACCAACTGGTCATCACGGCACCTCTCCTTGCCGGTCCCCTCGCCTGGCGGCTGCCCCCCGTGGCGCTGCGCCTTGCCCGCTTCCACCCCGCCCACCGCACCTTCCACGACGCCCTGCCCCCCGTGCTCTGCCCGCCCTCCCCCTCGCCCTGCGCTCTGCATGCTGCCCACGCCACCTGCCCCGCGTGCCCCACGTGCCGCCCCATCGTGCTGGAGCTGGAGCAGGAGGGGGAGGGCGAGGGCGAGGCGGAGCTGTGGCTGCTCTCGTGGTTCGTGCCGCTCAACCCCGCTGACGTCATGCACCCCTCCGCACCCGCATGTCACCACCCCGCTCACGCTGCCATGCATGCACCCACCCGACCCACAGCTGATGCCGCCTCCTCTGTGCCTTTGTGTGCCCCCTCTGCCTCCCTCACCGGAGCAATCTCTCTGCTCTCCACCGTGTACGGCTCGCCCGCTGCTGCCACCATCACTGCCGCCGCCACTGCTGCTGCCGCCTCAGCCCACGCCCCTGCGACGCAGGGCATGCCGCGCACCTTCCCCGCCCTGCCCGCGGGCCCCATGCTAAACGCCCCTCTGGACACGCACGTGCTGCCCGCCTCGCTGCTGCTCGCCCGTCTGCTCATCAACCCCACCAGCGCCGGCCCGCACACACGCCCACGCCTGCCCTCACCGCCCCTCGTGCCATTCCTGCGTATTGGGTTGGGCGGGCGGCTGGTGGTGGTGCGCGTGGTGGAAGATGTGGATGCGGGCGAGGGGCAGATGAGGGAGGCGGTGGTGGTGGGCGGGGAGGGCGTGCGGGTGTGCGTGCACATGTGGAGCACGCGCATGTGGGCGGTGCATGCTGCTGCCACCGTGTGTGCCGATGCCATTGATGCCAGCGACCTCTCTCAGGTTGGTGGGGAGGGGTGCACAAGGGGCATAGAGCCAGGCTGGCACATGCATGGGTGCAATTGAAATCAACTCTCAACACATCACTTTCTCACACGCCGTTCGTACCCCCCTACCTCTCGTCGTACTCACTGTTCGTTTCTTCACCCGTGCCCCTCCCATCGCCCTCCCACCAGCTGCCAGTGCTGGAGCCGCTCCCCCTGCGCGCCTCACTCAACGTGCTGTGGAAGCCCTTCTGGTCGCCCGCGCTGCTCTCCCGCCACCACCGCCACCCCCCCCGCTCCTCCCTCTTCTCCCCTCCCCACCCCGCCTCACTCCTTCGCCAGCCCTCCTCTCCCCCTCACGCCCACTCCTCCCACTCTTCCCACTCCTCCCCCTCCCCGCCCTCCTCGCCCCGTGCCCCGTGTGGGCCGCGCGACCCCTTGGACGTGCACGCGCCACCGTGCTCGCTGGGCATGGCGGTGGCCGTGCAGGCGGGGGGGCATGCATGGGACAGCTCAAGGGCGGGTGGGCGAGGCCAGGCTGGACGCGGTGGCAGGGGCTCCAACACAGGCGGCAGTGGCAGCAACGGGGGCAGCAGTGGCAGCAAGGGGGGTAGTAGTGGGGGTGGGGGCGAGGGGGGCGAGGAGCATGGGGCGACGGTGCATGTGAGGGCGGCGTCCCTGAGAGCGCTGCAGCGCCTGCTGCTCGCATGGACGGGGCAAGGGAGCCAGACAGGCACCGGGCAGGGCGAGGTGGGCGGAGGTGAGAGGGGGTTGGGGGAAGCAGAGAAGAGGAGAGAGAAAAGGGGTGAGGTTGAGCAGGAGGAGATGAAGGGAGATGGGAGAGTGCAAGAGAGTGAGGAGAAGGGGTTGGCTTTGGAGACGAGTGAGGTGGATGGGGGTGGTGCAGCAGAGGCGGGTGAAGGGGCGGCGGAGGAAAGCCCAAGAGGAATGCCATCACAGGCGCCGTCCTCTCCCCCACTCCTCGCATCCCCATCCCCCCCTCTGTTCGGGTACACTGTGGAGAACAGATGCCCCGTGTTGCTCCACCTGGGCCAGCACGCCACACAAGAGGCCATCCCCCTGCCGCCCGGCTGCTCACTAGGCTACAGCTGGTGCCGCCCACCCTCGCTTGTGCCGGGCGCCGTGTGCCAGCTGCGTGCGCGCGTCAGCCAATGGGAGGGAAAGGGGCGGGGAGATGGAATTGAGGGGCGGGGAGATGGGGCACAATGGGCAGAGAGGAGTGATGAAAAGTGTGTGGGGGGAGGGAAAGAAGGAAAAGGGTGGGAGGGGGTGAGCATTGGAGGCGATAGATGGAGTGCGCAGCATGCATGTGGAGCAGCTGAAAAGGATGACATGGCACGTGGTGATTGGTCGGCGCCATTTGAGGTGGACACAGGGGGGCGGCACTCGTTCCTGCTCGCTGTTCCTGTGCTCCCAGACCGCCGCCTCACTGCCTCCATTTTAGTCACCATCACTCCCAATCATGGCTGCTTGGTGCACGTGCTCTTCACACCGAATGTGCTTATATTGAATGAGACGGGCCAGGGATTGGCAGTGGAGATGCAGGGCTCCGTGCTGCCAGTGGGGGGCAGCAGTAGCAGAGGGGAGGGCGAAGCATGCAGATTGCAGTTGGAGGGGAGTAGAAAGGGTGGCAGGGGGCATGTGAGGCACGTGTTGGTGGCAGAGAGGAGGCGCGGTGGCAGGGGGGGCATGGGAGGGGATGAGGCGGTGAATGGGGGCAAGGAGTCAGAGGGCGTGGAGGTGAGGGGAGCCAAGGGAGGGGAGACGGAGGCAGCAGAGGAGAGGGAGGAGTCGTTGCCTTGGAGGGGCACGGGCGCTGACAGGGCAGCTGTGGTGGTGCGTGTGTGGCTGGCAAGGGAGGCACGCTGGTCCGCCCCCCTTGCTGTTGCGCCCGGCTGCCTTGGCCTGCCCTCTGCGAGCCACCCAGGGAAGGGGCTGGGGGGGACAAGGGGCAGGAAAGGAGGGGGAGATATGGCGGCAGCAGAGTGTGAAAGAGCGGTAGCAGTGGTGGATGGCAGTGATGGTTGCTCGCTCACCTTCCTGCTCACCGCTGATGCCTGTGTTCCCGTCTCAGGCCCGCCCTTCCCCCCGCCGCCACACGGGCGAGAGAGTGTGTGGGTGCGCCTCATGCTGCCCTCCTCCATCCTCCCCCTCCCAGCTCCCCCTTCCTCCTCCTCACTCCCCACCGCGCCCCCCAGCAGTGCGCCTGACCCCTTGCGCCTCTGGCAGGGTCCCCTGTGTGTGGAGCTCTGGCCTGCCGCCCTCCTCTGCAACGCCCTGCCGCTGCCCCTGCGCGCACGCCTTCTGCTTCTGCAGGGCGCGTCCACCACGAAATGTAGCGAGGACGGACCCGGGAGGTTGACGGAAGGGAACTGTCAAGAGCAGCAGCAGCAGCAGCAGCAGGAGCGGGACAGAGGGGCGGCGGAGGTGGCAGTGGGGACGGCAGAGGAGGTGGGTGTGGGCGGTGGCATGTGGGGAGAGTGTGCTTTGGAGCTCGCACTGCCGTGCACTCCCCCCACCACTGCTGCAGCACACACGCCAACCAGCCATGGCACCAGTGGCACCTGGACTGCTGCTGCCTCGCTCCACCCGCCCGCACATCCCTGTGCTGAAGCCTCCCTGTGGAGCGCACCCCTTGCGCTCTCCCTTGCTGCCCCCGACCAGCAAGCACCCACTGTCTCTGCCACCTGCCGGGGTGACATCACTGACTGGTCTGCAGGCAATGCTGATGTGTCGCGGTGGGATTCGCCGATTCCAGCTGTAGGGAAGCGGCATGCCATGTGGCTTCCACAGGCGGATAGCGAGGTGAGCATCCACCAGTTGCTGCTTCTCACCGCACTGCACTGCATTGCACCGCACCGCACAGCATCGTTAGCACCATCACACACGCGTCTTCCGCTGGGATCAGTAAGCCGTTTTGTGTTTCTCTCATTCCGTCTCTTCTCTCTTTCCCGTGCGCGGTCCCCTGCCCCTCTGTCAAAGCAGAGTCTCCTCTGTGTGCTGGCAGCATCACACTATCGCCCCTCTCACCACCCATGTGCTCACGCTGCTGCCGCCGCTGCCCTGCCAGGCGATGCGCCCCTGCCACCGCCCGTGCCAGCGCTGCTGCTCTCAGTGCACCCCGTGGCAGTGCTGCACAACCACCTGCCCTTCCCCCTCGCCCTCGCCCTGCACGACGCCCCCTGCCCCAACCTCGTCATCCCGCCCTCCCACTCCCGCCCCTTCGCCTGGCCCTGTCTCTCCCACGCCCTCCTCTCCCCCTCCCTCTCCTCTACGCCAACTGCATTCTCCCCTGGTTCCTCTGCTGCCGCCTCCTCTCGTTCCACCCCCACTACTGCATCTGGCCTGGGTGCCAACCCTAGGAGGCAGGCTCGGGGGTGGTCAGTGCGGCTTGGGGTGCCTGGAGGGTTGGAGGCATCCATGGGTAGCGGTGGGGGGATGGGGGGCGGAGGTGGGGGGGAGGGGGAACCACGAGGATGGGCGTGGTCGTCTACCGTGCTGGTGCGGGGGGAGGGGGACGCAGAGGGGGGGAGGTCAGGGGGTGGGGGCAACAGTGAGCGGGTGTCCATCGTGACGCTCAGCTCTCACGGCCCCTCGCACCTGCACTGCCTGCTCTCCGTCTCCCACGTCCCCCTCCCATCATCCCATCCGCCTTGTGCTCCCACCCCCACGTCTCCCTCTCAGCCTGTCTGCCCTCTCCCCTCACACACCACGCACCTCTCTGTGCTGCCCGCCGCCCTGCTCTCCAACCTCACGCCCTTCCCCCTCCACTTCCTCCTAGATGATCCCCCCCCTGCCCCTCCCCATCCCCTGCGCCCATCCTCGCTGCACCACACCCCTCCCGCCCTGCCTGCCTCCGCTGGTCTGTGTCCCCCCGGTGCTACTTGCCTGCCCCTCACGCTCTTCCCCTGGCGACCCCTCCTCTCCTCCTCGCCCTCTCTGCCTGACTCCTCTGCCTCCAGCAGCAGCAGCAGCAGCAGTGGCAGCAGTGAGAGTGACAGTGAGAGGGACGGAGAGGGAAGCGATGGTGACATTGGTGGTGGTGGTGTTGCATCGAAGCAGCGGCAGAAGCAGAAGCAGAGTAGGAGGAGGGGGAAGGCAGGAGGCGAAGGGGTAAGAGGAGGTGGCGGGGAGGACGGGTGGGATAGGCGGCTGGCAGCGCTGGGAGGAGTGCGCCTGGGCATGGCGGCACGTGCATGTGCTGCTGAGGCAAGAGAGCAAGGGGGAGCAGCAGCAGCAGCAGTAGCAGTGTGTGGCAGTGAGCAGCGCTACCAGCACAACCAGCACCTACATGACGAATCTTCTCTGCCTGCTCGCCCCTCCCATTCATGCCCCCTGCTCTGGTCGCCGCCCGTGCCTCTCTCCCGCTTCGCAGTCGCGCAGCGCCTGCTCCTCCCCGACCCCTCTGGCACCTGCCATGCCGCCCTCCTCACCGCCTCCCTCCTGCCCTCCGCCGGCCAATCAGAGGGCGCCACGTGGCAGCCGCACCTAGTGGTGCACGTGGATGCACAGCCGCCGTGGCGCATTGAGAACGAGACAGGTGTGTGTGTGGACGTGAGGGGGGCGGCCGATGAGGCAGACGCCTTTGTAGCGCGAGTGGGGGCGGGGCGGTCACTTGCCTTCCATGCTGCCGCCCTGCCTCTCCCCACCCCCTCTTCCTCTGCTGCCTCTGCTGCTACTGCCGCTGCCGACAGTGGCGGTGCTGCGGATGCAAGGCGCAATGATGCGAGTGGCAGTGGGGGCAGCGAGGGAGGGCGTGAGGGGAGGGAGTGGATGCAGGCGGGGGTGGTGGGGGGAATGGCCATCAAGAAGCGCAAGTGGCATGGCCGCTCACAGCACCACCGCAAGCACACACATGCTCATACGCGTCCACTGATACCCGGTGCATTGAACCTGGACGAGGAGACGGACGATGCCCTCATGGCCCACATTCAGCGCATCTCAGGCGATGGGCCCATAACACAAAAGAGCACAGGCGGGCGAGCAGCAACAGGGGGCATCTGTGTGCGGGCAGAGGGGGCGCAGGAGTGGAGCGAACCCATCTCAGTGGGGCAAGGGCGGGGGGAAAGGGAGGGCGAGGGCGAGGGGGAGCTGCTGCTGCACGTGCCGTGTGGCGGCAGCAGCGGGGCGGTGGAGGGCGGGGGGAACTGGCTGCTGCTGCACGTGTGTGTGTGGAGGGAGGGCGCCACCGCTGTGTGCCGCATTGCTCATGCCGCCTCTCGCCCTTCCAGCCCCTTCGCTCTGTCCCTGCCTGCCCGCCCCATGCCCCCTGCCATGGCGCCTCTGCCCCCTGCCATGGCGCCTCTGCCCCCTGCTGCTCTGCATGTGGGTCTGCAGCGAGAGCTCAGTGGCGCCAAGGACATGCGGCATGACTCACCGCAGCAGCTGCAGCAGGGTGCGTTTGCTCCCAGCCACTTGCAAGCTGCACACCCCACTTCACGAACATATTCCCCATCTCGCCCATTCCACTCGCCCTCCTCCCCACCTTCCCTTGCATCCTCCAATTCCCCCGCCTCCCCGTCCACCCCTCTCACCCCCCCCACGCCCCACCCCACCACCTACCTCCTCCTGCGCTCGCACACACTCTCCCTCGCCCTGCCTTCACTCCACCTCGTCCTCTGGGACGACCTGCGCCGCCCTCCCTCCTCGCCCCACCTGCCTGGGAACAAGACAAACGATGCCAGTCCGAGAGACAATGATGAGAGTGACAATAATGAGAGTGACAGTAATGCGAGTGACAGTCTGTTCCGTGATGCGTCAGCCATCTGCCTCGTGTCCCTCTCCTCCCTGCACGCCTCGCTCTCCCTCCTCCCGCCTCGCTCCCTCTCGCTGCTCGGTATTGGGGCTCACAGCGGAGCACCAAGTCACAGCATGCCACGTGGCATGCACACACATCCTTTACCACCAGCGCCAGCAGCGGTGGGCATGGTGTATGCGGTGCAGTGCGGTGTGGGGTCGGTGCAGGTGCACAACCTGTTGCCTGGCGCGCTCCTCCCTCTCCTCCTCAACATCCGCCCTTCCTCTCCCACCACTGGCTCAGCTGCTGGTGGGAAGGGTGAGGCGGGACGTAGAGGGAACAAGGAGGGAGGAGGGGGTAGACAAGAGGAAGGCGAAGGAGAGGAGCACAAGGCAGCAGCAGGGCATAGAAATGAGAGGGGGGAGGAAGGGCAGGCAGCAGTGCAGGTGGAAATCGTGTTGTCACAGCACCCGTCGCAGCGTTTGACAGGCGGGTGGAGTATGGGCGATGAGAGGGTGCAGAGCAACCAGGGAGTGGAGCGGGTGTGCTACGTGATGAGTGTGGAGGCGGTGCATGTGAGTGTGGGTCACGTGGATGCATGCGCTGATGACTGCCTGCTCTTCGCCCTCACCCACTACGCACCCATCGCCATCGCCTTCATGCAGGGCAGCAGCCAATCAGACGGTGCGGCATGGAAGACGCATATGCAGGGATCAGATAGTGAAAGCCGATCAGGATTGCAAGCCAGCACACAAGGTTCCACGGCCACGCACCCTGTCGTGCCCTCCGCACTGCCCTCATCAGACGCGGCTCTCATCCGCCTGCTCGCCCTGCACCGCCTCCTCTCCACCCCGCCCCCCCGCCTCCCTGACATCGCCCTTGCCACCACTCCCTCTCTCTACCTCGGCCGCTTCCGCATTTCCCCCCTCACTCTCTCCCTCACTCTCCGCATCTCCTCCCCTCTCCCTCTCGACACCACCGCCACACCACTCTCACTCTCACCGCTCCACCTCCCACCTCTCCTGTCCCCACGCGCTGCCCTCGCGCGTGTGGTGGTGGCGCACTACATAACGGAGGGGGTGCTGTGTGTGCCGCGCGTCATCGCCTCGCACCACCTGCTGCTCAACCCGCTGGGCCTGCTGCACAGCGTGCGGGCCGCCTGCCGCGACCTGCTGCTGCTGCCCGTGCAGGGCTCGCTGCACGCGGGGCCGCACGGGCTGCTGCTGGGTGTGGGGCGCGGCGGGCTGGCAGCGTGGCGCCACGTGTCGCAGTGGACCGTGGCGTCGCTCTCCGGCTTCGCCTCCAGTGTCGGCCGGCTCGTCAGGCAGGCTTATCTTGGAGAACGGGGAGGTGGAAGCAGAGGCTTGGTAGGGGAGGGGGGGCATAGAAGCGGCAGTGGTGGTGCACATGGGAACAGAAGAGGTGTGGCTGGTGGTCGTGGTAACCAGCGTGTGACAGTTGGCGGTGGTGCTGCTGCTGCAATGGGCAGCAGTGGCGGAGGAAGAGGCGGTGGGGGGGTGCATGGCGGTATGGGGCTGTCTGTGGGGCACCACCGCATGCGACTGACACTCTCACTCGCGCACAGGCCTCGCCTTCCCCACCACTACCGCCACTCCCATCGCCACTCGCTGCATGAGCGGGAGCACCAGCCAGAAAGCACTTATGAAGGCACAGGCAGGTGGGGCCACAGCAAGAGTGATGGCGGGGAGGAGAGGCGGCAGAACGGGCAGGCTGCAGCGCAGCATGCGACGGGGACGGGGTCCACGGGGCCTCGTTCTGTTGGCGGTGCAACAGGGGCACATGGCGCAGAGGCAGAGGGGAGAGCAGCGCCACTTGCTACTGAGGGCAGGGGGGCCCATGGTGGCGTGCCTGCCACCTGCACTGGGGGCAGCAGGGATGGCAGTGCTTCTCGTAGGGAGGGTCCAGGCAGAGAGGGTGACGGGTGGCAGGTGTCGCTGGTGTGGCAGGTGCAGCAGAGGGGCGTGCGCTGTGCTGCCAGCCGCTTCATGCCTCCTCTGTGGCCACCGCGCCCCCAAGCATTGTGAGTTCCCCTTCCAGCTGCCCCCAAGCATTGTGAGTTCCCCTTCCAGCTGCCCCCAAGCATTGTGAGTTCCCCTTCCGGCTGCCCCCAAGCATTGTGAGTTCCCCTTCCAGCTGCCCCCAAGAATTGTGAGTTCCCCTTCCAGCTGCCCCCAAGCATTGTGAGTTCCCCTTCCAGCTGCCCCCAAGCATTGTGAGTTCCCCTTCCAGCTGCCCCCAAGCATTGTGAGTTCCCCTTCCAGCTGCCCCCAAGCATTGTGAGTTCCCCTTCCAGCTGCCCCCAAGCATTGTGAGTTCCCCTTCCAGCTGCCCCCAAGCATTGTAAGTTCCCCTTCCAGCTGCCTAAACTCATGGTGCTGCTGGTGGCATGGGGCCATGCCATGATCGTGAAACAGCTGTCTGCATGTTGTCGCCATCACAGCTGCACACTTGCTGCATGTCCGTGTTACCACATGCACACGTTCACTGTCCCCCACCACATGCACACGTTCACTGTCCCCCACCACCCCTGGCGTCTCTCATTCTGCAGCGCTGGCCAGCGCTTTCACTGCCCATCTCTCATTCTGCATTCTCTGCCCGCCTTTCCTCTGCCCGCCTTTCCTCTGCCCGCCTTTCCTCTGCCCGTGTCTCCTCCGCCTGTGTCCCCCCCAGCTACCTCACGCATGTGGACGCCAGCACGGCAGTCATCACCACCACCAGCACCGACATCCCGCCTCTGCTGCTCCGTCACCCACTGCTCCTCCTCACTGCCACCCACCTCCTCGCCGTTGACCAATCAGGGCTCGGCATGGCCGCATGCCTCCCGCTGTGTGGGCTGGAAGTGAGCGTGGAGAGAGGGGAGGAAGGGGGAGTGGAGGAAGGGGGAGGGGAGGAACTGGAAAGGGGAGGGGGGAAGGGAGAGGTGGAGGAGGGAGGTATTGCTGAGGAGGGCGAGGGAGAATGGTCGCTGACATGCTTTTGTGGCAGGGGTGGTCGGCTGTGTGGCAGTGTGAGTGATTGGTGGCACACACTGCCACACCACCCCACCCAGAGAAAGCCCACTGGCACTCTGGATGATAGCAGCAGTGAGAGGCGAGGGCGTGACGAGGGCAGTAGCATGGCAGAGGGTGTGATGGGTGGGAGAGGGGGAGGCGGGGAGGCAGACGCTGTGAGAACAGCGGAGGTGCAAGGGGGAGGGGAGCACGCAGACTTGACGATAGGCTTTCAGGTGTACTGCCAGGTGGGAGAGGCAGCACACATCCAGCTTGTGCCTCTGCTGCTCAGACAGGTGGCTCGCTCTGCTGCCTGTTGACTGTTCTCTCAGCTGCACTGTGTTGCACACCCGTGTGGGGTACCGTCAGCGCCTGTTTAGCGGAACCACTATCCATGGGTACACAGAGGGGGTGAGTGAGTCCCCCCTCTTTTCTTGGCCTGTTTTTAGAACCCACTTTTGCTCCAGTAAGAATTTAATATTCCCTGTGTCAAACTGTGTTTCCATCTCTGTAGGCTGTAGTGGGGTAGCTTACATAGAGTACAACCCTTTTAGGGTTTCCCTACTTGTTCTCATGCTGCCTAATCTCACCATTCCAACTTCGTATTCTGAAATGGTTTCATAGTAGGTTCTGTCCTACCGTTAGGGCCCACCGTTAGTTCCGTCCTGCCCGTCTTGCTGCCCTGCCCGCTGGCGTGCGCATTGCCCCGCGCACCCCCGCACGCCCTGCTGCCCCGCGCGCCCTGCGCGCCCAGCTTCCCTGCGCGCCAGCGAGCCCTGCTGCCCAGTGCGCCAGCGCACCCTTCTGCCCAGCACGCTAGCGCGCCCCGCTGCCCAGCGCCCGCGTGTCCCCCGCTGCCCCTTGCCCGCGCGCGCCCCGCTGCCCAGCGCCCGCGCGCCCCTGCCCTGCCCTGCAAGCGCTGCCTGCGCCTGCCCTGCTAGCACGCCCGTGCCGCTGCTGCAGCTGCCACCCGCACGCTGCCCTGCGCCGTGCGCTGCCCGCGCGCGACTGCCCTACCTACACGCGCTACCAGCGTGCACCTGCCCTGTCCCGCATCTAATGCCTGCACCCTGCCCTGCCAACGATGTCAGCGCACCCCAGCCCTGCCCCACAAGCGACCCACACTAGAGCACCCAGTTACTCGCGCACTTCCCTAGCTGCTCCTGCGCTGCTGCTAATGGCTGCCGCTGACTGCCATGGCCACTACTGTTCTACGCCAACGGCAGCCGAGTGTGCAAGAGTCTTTCTCGCGGCAGCAGCTTCGCGAGTGGACTATCTGCTGGGGCAGCCCCGGTGGCGGAGCTAGCCGTGCTAGAGCTGGAGGTGCTGGTGCTGGCGGTCCTCGTACTCGTCGGCAGGAGACGCTCTCGTCGCAGCAGCTTCGCAAGAGGGCTGTCCGGTGGGGCAGCCCCACTGGCGGAGCCTGGGGTGCTACTACTGGAGGTACATGTGAGTCTACTACTGCTGGTAGTGCCGCTGGTAGACGCGGAGGTTCTGGGGGTGGACAGCAGCAGCAGCAGCGTCCACCAGAGACTCTCTCCCCCGCAGCAGCTTCGTGAGTGGGCTGTCCGGTGGGGCAACCCCGGTGGCGGAGGGTTTCAGGGGACTCGTACTGGGGGTGTAGAGGCCCTTGGTGGTGCTAGTCTCGGTGCTTTAGACTCTACTAGCGCAGGGGCAGAGCCTGAGGAGGCCTTGCACATTTTTACCCTCGACTCAGGCGCGTCTTGCTGCTTCTTCCGCGACAGCACCACAGTCACACCGCTCACAGCCTTTGTCCCTGTCACACTAGCCGACCCTTCCGGTGGTCCCGTATTCGCGCGTGGCGCTACTATTCTCCCGTGTCCGGCGGCCCCTTCCGGCTTCCTCAGAGGTCTCCTCCTCCCCTAGTTCGCGAAGAACTTGGTCGCTACTTCTATTCTCCAAGACTTGTGGGTCACTGTCACCCAGCATGGTGGAGAGCTTGTGGCGATCCGTACGGACTCACACACTGTCGAGCACCTCGCCACGTTCACTCGAAGGCCCGGGTCTATTCAGTACACACTGACTACTGAGTCTGCACTGGTGGCTGAGTCGGGTTAGGGAGCTGCGTTGGTTGAGGTCGCTGCATCTTGTTCGTCTCATCTCCTCACGCACCAAACTCTCCTCCGGCACCACTTTCTTGGCCAGCCCTCCTTGCCACACCTGCGTGGCATGCACTCCCGTCTCTTGTGTCTGGTCTCCTCAAGTCCCTGCCCCCACTTTCGAGGTCGCTTGCACCGCCCTGCCTTCCCTGCGTTGAGGGGAGGCAGCGCGCCGCTCCTCACTCCTCGTTTCCTCCTACCACTGCTCCTCTGCATACCCTCCACATGGACGTGTGGGGCCCCGCCCGCGCCACTGCACAATGTGGCGAGTGCTACTTTCTGCTCATTGTTGACGACTACACGCGCTAGACCACGGTCTTCCCCTTCCAGAGCAAAGCGGAGATCCGCGGTGTCTTGATCCGCTGGATCCGCGCTGTCCCTCTTGAGCTTAGCGCTCGGTTCCGGCAAGACCTTGTGGTCCTGCGGCTGCACTCTCACCAAGGTGGTGAGTTTTCCTCCCGCCATCTCGAGGACTTCTGTGGTACTGAGGGCATCTGCCAGTCGTTCACGCTTATAGCCTCTCCATAGCATAATGGGATTGCATAGCGTTGCATCGGCTTATCAATGGAGGTTGCTCGCACCTCCATGATCCATGCGGCTGCTCCCCATTTTTTGTGGCCATTTGCGGTCCGATACGCCGCGCATCAGCTCAACCTCTGGCCCCGTGTCTCCGTGCCACAGACCTCGCCTACAGTGCGATGGACGGGGGAGGTTGGCGATGTGTCGGAGTTTTACCACCCAGCCTCTCGACATGTGATGTCCTCCCGCGACGTCACTTTTGACTAGTCAGTCTTCTTCTACCGTCTTCACCCCGACCGTCGTTCCCCGGTACCCCTCCCGCCTCTCTCCCTGGTTGTCGACCCCCCCCTAGGTAGCCCCCCTCCCTCCTCCCGGTCCTGCTCCCTCAGGTGTGTCTCAAGTAGACCCACCCCCCTTGGTTGAGCCTTTGGAGGTCTCCGCTGACACCTCTGGCCCAGCTGAGGGGGGTGACCCGACTGCTGCCGACACCGTGGCCCCTCGCCGCTCCGCGCGCTTGGCGATCCTTCCTGGTTTTCCACCTCGACCGTCTTCACCGCCTCTACGGCCCGTCGCTGTGGTCTCTGGTGCTGCTGGAGGTGGTGACACTGGTGGTGCGGACTCTAGGGTGCTGGCACTGGGGGTTCTGCGAGTCCTACGGGTACAGGGGGTGCTGGAGGTGGTGCTGCTAAAGGTACTACGGGTGGAGGTGCTGGTGCACGTCGGCAGGAGACTCTCTCGCCGGAGCGGCTTCGTGAGTGGGCTGTCCGTTGGGGCACCCTTGGTGGCGGCGCTGGACGTGCTGGAGGTGGAGATCCTGGAGGTACTGGACCTGAAGGTGCTAGTGCTGATGTTCCTGGAGTTGGAGGCATTGGCGGTGCTGACGCTGGAGGTGCTACTGGAGGTACTGGAGTTGGTGGTGCTAGTCGGCAGGAGTCGCTCTCGCCGCAGCAGCTTCGCGAGTGGGTTGTCCCTTGGGGCAGTCCCAATGGTGGAGCTGGAGATACTAGTTCTGGGGGTGTTGTTCCTACTGGAGCTTGAGGTTCTGGGGGTTTGACTACTCAGCCGCAGCCGTCTGCGCTTCGTCACCTTCTCAGTCTCCCACCTGCTGCTACTGAGTTCCCGGTTGCTGGTACTACTCCTCCGTTGCTGTTCCCACCGATTGACCAGTCTCAGCCACAGCTACTGCCTGGCTCCTCGCTGCCTGCTCCTGCTCCTCGCACTGAGGTGACTGAGTCCCTGACTGAGCGTCGTGAGTCCGAGACTCGTGCTTCCACACCTGTTCGTACTCGTCGTGTTGCCCGTCCTCGTGCTCCGGCTGTGCCAGGCACTCACCGTATGACACTTCGTTCTTCCTCTGTTCCACAGCGTGTTGTCCTGCCATTGCCTCCTGCGTCTTCTCTTCCTCACGTTCCTGACCCCGAGTCTGACCTTGTCCATACTGCTAGTTCGACTGTCACTCGTCTCCTTGCCACGGTTGTGACTGACCCTTCCTTTGAGTCCGCTGAGCTTGTTGACTTTGCGTCTGCCTTAGTTGCTGAGTTTGTTGACTTTGCTGATTTGTGCCACCATGACTACGCTGCGAGTCTTGCTTTTTACTCTTCGTGTCCCCCGTCCATCGGGGGTGAGCTTGCCTTTGAGTGTGACGTCCTTGAGGACAGGCAGTTTGGACTGGAGTGCCTAGCGGCCGCTTCACCTCATCTTGCGTCCACGCTACATTGCCCTGAGGGAGACCCGGATGCACTGGACATCCCGGCCTCGCGTTCTTACGCACACGCGATCACGGGTCCGTATTCCTCTTAGTGGCAGATAGCTAGGACGCAGAGATGGCTTCTTGGAAGTCCACGGGCACCTACGTCGACGCAGTTCCCCACCTGGGGCGAACATAGTCGATGGCATGTGGATTTTCATGGTGAAACGGTCGTCGGGTTCTCCGCCTGCCTTCAAGACGCGTTACGTTGCACAAGGCTTCAGTCACCATGAGGGGGTCAACTTCTTCCAGACCTTCTCCCCCGCCCTGAAGATGACCACTCTTCGGGTGCTACTACACGTTGCAGCACAGCGAGACTACGAGCTGCACTCCCTCGACTTCTCGACAGCCTTCCTGTAGGGCAGCCTTCATGAGGCTATCTGGTTGCGCCGCCCACTTGGCTTCACTGGGACGTTTCTTGAGAGTACCCTGAGGAGTCTTCGTCGACCAGTCTATGGTCTACGTCAGGCGCATCGTGAGTGGCATGACACACTGAGGACTACACTTGCGGCTCTTGGCTTTGCTCCCTCGACTGCTGACCCTACGCTGTTTCTGCGCACAGAAACTTCTCTACCGTCACTCTATGTTCTTGTGTATCTCAACAACTTTGTTTTTGCTACTGCTGACACTGAGGCACTGGCCCTAGTGAAGGCGGAGCTGCAGGAGAGACATACCTGTACTGATTTGGGTGACCTGTGGAGCTGTCTTGGCTTGCAGATCACCTGGGACAGAGCACGGCGCACCATCACCCTGACTCAGTCACACATGATGCAGCAGGTCCTTCAGCGCTTCGACTTCTCGTGGTCCTCGCCACAGCCCACTCCTCTCTCTAAAGGCCACTTGCTCTCAGCTCCATCTTTGTTTGAGTCCGTAGAGCCGCGTGGTCCATACCCAAAGCTTGTAGGCTGCCTCATGTACCTGATGACGTTCACAC